GTGGATGACTGGATGTAAAGCGCTTTGGGGTCCTTAGGGACAAGTAAAGCGCTATATAAATACAGGCCATTTACCATTTATTCTCTTTATTAAAGGTTCATAAGGTGTCTATTAACCAATCAGTGCTTCAAAAACAGATTTTTTGGGCGGGACACGGGAAAATAAAGATGTTAGAAGAGGATCGATGTGCACTTAGTGAGGATTCCTGACTCAGCTGCAGCTGTCCGACTTACATGTTGGAAGTGTTACAGTTCCAGCGGAATGGTCAGCAAATCCATGTGTACAAATGACAGGCAGCCTGGTTCATGAATGGGTGTATCAGGCTGTTTAAAGATCACCTACACCTAAAACCGCTGTGTTTCATCATCCCCCAAATCAATTTCAGCTGGAAAACTGCTGCAGTGTTTCTCCTCTCTCTATCTTTACTATTAGTTTCCACCAATCCCCACTGATCCCCCTACAGAAAAAAAGACATTTACATTTTTAATGTAAAAAATTACATTAAAAATGCAGAAAACAACAATAATCTGCACTTTATTTAAACAACAACTATACAATAATTGTGCACCATAGGTGTGGATTCTGTTAGTTCTGCTGCCAGGTGGAGTCAAAGACAGTGACACTGTCACAGGATGTGCTCACCAGGATGCAAACGATACAGGAAGTGCCGGGCTAACTGGTTAAACTTTTAAAAATATAAGTGAGGGGACAGTCCATTAGTAAACCGATTAAACCTCCACATATACTGTATGTAAAAGTCTGTGTGTGGGGAAAAACCGAGCATGGACATGTTTCTGTCTGTTCTTTCCTCTCCATTATCTCACTTCACAAATCCTCAGATATTTTGTCCTGTTTCCTCAAAAAAGCAGATTCAGCATCACCAAAAGCTCTGCAAACTAATCTAATTTAGCCCAATATTTAAGAAAAAAAATCACCTGGGGCAAATTTACAGCTCCTTTAAGAGGTGAAGACTTGAAGAGGTTCTCAATGAGAGTGATGAGTTTAATTTTCTCAAGAAGGGGATACGGATGGAAATGAACGTGCACACGGGGAAAAAATGGCACATACTGCTGCCTGTCACCATCCATAGAGCACCATCAAAACAATATTCCAAGAATGTCCACAAGGAACAAATTACCTCTGTCTCTCTCTCACACACACAGACACACACACACACGCAATGATTCCCAAAGACCCATTTTAATGCGACTGGCAGCTGATTTAAGGCCCAGCCCTGAACCCTGGCAGCTGGTGAGACGAGGGATGTTGGGAGCGCTGTGTTTACTCGGGGTGTACTGTGGCAGCCTCGTTTCCCTCTAAAGTGTTTGTTTGTTTCTGTTTGTCGTGGCTCTGCTCCTCCTCGCAGCCTCGCCTTTTCGTCTCATTGACTCCCCGTCCTGATGTGTGGGTGCAGAGTCCATTAGACTGAAGGTCTGGGGGAGGTTAGGGGTGATGTGTCATTAGTGCTCTCTGCATTGCACCCATGGCTCACTACTTTGCAGCCACATTATCTCACACTGCCCACCTCATGCACCATACGGGATTGCTCACTGAAGGAAATAATCATTTGATGGTAGAACGCCACATTCTCCAACACCAAATAACACAAAATGGATCAAGTTTGTCTGAAATTATCTCCCATACGGCCAGTTTCACTCAGAACAATTAGAAACAGATCCTACCCACACAACTGTGACTCAATTGTTGGCAACTTTTTCACAAATGCCCCTTTTTCAGAAGCACTATCAAACACGCACAATAATAAAGGATCCAGGAAAATCCTGTTAGCGAGCACAGCGGCATCAGCAAACCCTTCAACATTCATTCGTTTTAGTTTGACTTCATCTTTTTCTTCTAATATCTTCGCACCACTAGTTTAGCAAGCACTTGGTTTTTGAGTGTTTCCATCAATAAAGGGCACAACAAAGGCAGGCAGATTTACACCCACAAAACAGAAAAATGTGGACGGAACAGGTCGTCAGGAGAGATCCGGATTGGGAATTTAGACGACTGGATTACAAAACTGTTGAGTGGAAAACGACATCACCAGTTGGGGTCATTTTATGTAGCTTATTTAGCAGCAGTTAGTCTAGGTAAATAATAAAATTAGCAACACACGTTATGTGTTATTTTCTTCTGAATAAGTGGAAGAAAATGGATGGATGGATGCAAACAGTGCTGGCATGATCAGGTCTCCAAGCGTCCAGTGAAACTGAAGATAACAGGTCATGTGGATGGGTAATAACCAGTTTGCAGTTTTGTCACTAACAGAGATGGGTGTAAACTGATGACTTACTTCAAGAAATAAGTAATGTAAGGAATTACTATTGCAAAAACAGCGATTAGATTATTGTTACTTCCCCGTAAGCACGTTGCGTTACTGCGTTATAAACCGTCGTGATTTTGTTTGTGAGAGTGTCTCATGACAATGACGTGTGCAGATCAACATGGATAACATGGAGTGCAGGGGAGAGTACGACCAGGCAGCGTTTAAAGCGTGGACGTATTTATATTTATTTAAAATATATTTAAAAGTGACGAAAACATTAGCGTGCGGTGTTCACTCTGCGTTGGAAGAAACGTCTTTCTACAGCAAAAAATTAAACTTCAAATCTGAGCACCGAGCGCGCTGCCACGGGAATGTGACATTCACAGGGAAACCCCCGGATCCTCCCACTGACATGACCGCTGTGGGCAAACTTCCACCCACCCCACTCCTGCTAAACAGGTGACAACAGATTTAAGCGCAACAGGTCTCAGAGCTGCTGAATCTTTGATTTTATTTATTTTCTGCTGTGTTTTACTTGCATCTATTTGAAAGAGTGTAAACACATAACATTATTTTATTACAGGAATATGTAGGAAATAGGTTTAAATTTCTTCCAGTCACAGACTGTTGCATTTAATTTAATTTTTGCTTGATGCAATGTGCATAAAGATAAAAGATTAAAACCAATAATTTAAAAAGAGGCTTTCCATTCAGTTTTATATGATGGATTATGCATAAAAATAGCATTGGGCTGAAAGGTTTATTGCTTTATTACGTTGTCAGGTTGTGTATCATGTTTTTGAAAAGTAACTAAGTAACTAATTACTTTTGGAAATAAGTAATCAGTAAACAGGTATACTTTTTTGGAGACGTAATCAGTAACTAATTACTTTTTTCAAGTAACTTGACCAACACTGGTCACCGACACACCATTAAGCACTGCATCCTGATCCTTTACGTGTCATTGCACCATTTTCAGTGTAGATTCAGAACGTTTGATTTGCTCTGTGTCTTAAACAGGAACATAATCTGCTTTAAAGTCAAGATTCTTGATAATTAATCTTCACACGCAGCTTAAACTTCTGAATACAAATCACTAAAATGTACAACTTTAAATAAACGCCACACATTATGTTTTAACTGTCAGGATCAGACTGCACAATGTTTCTGTGTCTGAGTAACTTTCTCTGAGGCTGGACTTGGACAGGACAAAACCTACCTGTGAGTGATAGACAGTGACCGCTACGGAGAAAATCAAAAGTCATTAAATTAATAGCTTTATGTAAATAAAATCGCTCAGAAATAAGCCTTCATATTTACATTCTGATCCAAGTTCGCAGCACAGGGAGGGAGAGAGGAATGCAGACTCCCTGACACATTTCTCTCCAAATCACAGCAAAGTGTTTTACAAGACGGGACTTTGTGTTCCCGTCCTTCTCCCTGGCTCACATCGCTGCTGTCATCTTCTTAGTGTGAAACTGAAGGGCATTTTCATCGCCACGTTCCTCATAATCCTGCTGATAAGCAGAGGGAGAATTGATTTCAAACCTTACGTCAGCCCATTTTACTTAGTATGCAAAGCCTGAAACTGTCCACTGGGCTTCTGCTGCCTGCTCTGTCTGAAGATCAGCAGAATATTTAAGAAGGCATGCTGTGTCTGTTTTGTGGCCCAGACAGCTGGGTTTGTGCTCGCTACTACACCGGTATATTTCATTAAAACTGTAGCAGAGACAATCAGCCCGGGTCAGAGGACAAACTGTTGTATGCATGAGTCTGAAGAAGATATGGCTGCAAGGAACAATATAGCATTTTTAATGCAGCATTAAAAGCTTTGCAGCGGTAGTTGAATAATAAAAGATGAAACGATTGGCGAGAAACGTGGCCGCCTGCCAGCCTTAATGCTACGTTTTATATGCTGTTCTAACACAGAAAGAGGCAGTCGTTACGCTGTTAGAGCAGCACTGTGTGACAAACGCATTAAAGTTTATCTTCATTACCGAAGTGACTGAGCCTAAGAGTGGCAGGGATTTTCACAAGGCATTTAAACAGAAACTAATACACAGTTCATTCCAACCAGTTTGTTTTACTGGTGAACTTGAAAGACTGACTGATGGAACCACAGGCAACGGCCCTCCTCACCATAAACCTTACCAACGTATCGCCATATCCTTAGCATCCCATCCCACAAAAACGCCATCATCCAGCCCAGATGATCCTCCAATGAGTTTCCTGTCTGCTATTGTTTGTGTGTCATTAACTATGTCTGTATGTATTGTTTTGTTCCACCCAGCTGTTCATCCATCTGTTGGGACCAAGACATCATGTGCACGCCTGTAGAGTGGCTCACAATTTCCCTCCAACATCCACCGCAGCTTTGACGATGAAGCGATGGCTGTTCATTACCTCTTCATCCCACTCCAGTCAATCATTCCTCATTTCTCAAATCATTTGTAAAAATGACCTGACTATGTGTTGGGTCTACAAAACAGGAAGAAGAAGAAGAAAACTTCCAGTTTTAGATAGTTTGTTTCTGCAGTTTCTCAAAGAAAACATGTTAAAAAAAAAAAATCAGTATCCCAGCGTTCCGATCTCTTTTTCCTTTCTCGTTCCCTTTCAGTATCGTAGGCCACACTGAGCCATACACAAAGCTGTGCTGTAAAGGTTTCTGCATAGACATCCTGAAGAAACTGTCCCGCACCATTAAGTTCTCCTACGACCTCTACCTGGTCACCAATGGCAAGCACGGCAAGCTGGTTCGAGGAATCTGGAACGGGATGATCGGAGAGGTATGAGCAAAAGCAGCTAGTTTAGTTTTGTTTCAAGATACAAAATCTTTTTTTCCCCCCTCTTTTATAAAAAAAACAAGAAACAAAATCTACATCATAAAAATCCAGGTCTGAATGTTTCAGAAACTGAAACTTGATCTACTGGGATTTTTAAACAAAACCGTCTTTAGGGTTTACAGAGAGTAAACTATCCCACAGGACTGGAGTTATACGAGATGAGGCCTGACTGCTTGATAGGAAGGTAACAGGAACTCAAATAACTACTCATTACAACCATGGTGTGTAGAAAGGCCTTCCTAAAGGCCATGCTGCCCACCTGCCGGGCAGGGTGACAACAATATCCATAAAAAACACTGAAATTATCCAACCAGGTTGTTCCGCACAACCAATTCAGGGTCACAGTAAGCCAAGGTGAGAGGCGGGGTACACCCTGGACAGGCCACCAGTCTATCGCAAGGACATGCACAGAGACAGACAACCACTCAAATTTGCATTCGCATCTACGTCTAGCAATAACCAACATGCATGTCCTCAGACTGTGGATGTCAGAGTACCCGGAGTGAACCAACGCAGGCATAAAGAGAGCTTGATAAAAGTCATCCAGAAAACACGCCTGAAACTGAAAGCACAGTGAAACTAGAAGTCGGATTGTTCGTTTTGATGCTGAGTGTCAGGCAACAATAAATAAGAATAAAAACCCTCAAGAAGACAAAAGTCTGTTCTCTGATTGAAAATGTGTATGACAAGGTCGACTGGGTCAACACAAAAAGGAGGCGCAAGTGTCCCTATGAATGATGTACTTTCAGATTCCTCTGACCGGCCCTTCTCCTGAGTTGTTGCAGGATACAACATTAGTAGGACCCCCCCCCACACACACACACACACCCGTTTTTATCAAAAACAGGAAGGCTATTGTGCTCAATGAGGCATCGACCTCCGCAGGAGAGCTAATGGCTTGCATGAGTGTCTGGACTGTAAATCTACCGGCTCTCCATCAGCATGATAAACAGTGGTGTTATATAGAAACAAAAAAAGGAGGGTTGCAAAGTCACAGTGGAATTTGAACTGCACTGCTGTGGTTCAAACATCAGAAGAAATAGCATCAGCGTTTTTCAGCCAGACCATCCAGAGCCTGCAGTCTTCAGTCACTTGTTCCATTTCCAGCTTCTAACATTTGTAAGTGTGGCTTTATGTAATAGGTATTATACTATATGCTCCAATACATTATGATGGATTAGAGACGGATTAGATGGCAAATCATGTGTTACAATGCACTGGAGGAAAAAAAAGGCAGGATAACACTGGCAGTTGCTTTTGAGCTGCGTCCATCTGGCTGCTAGCTGAGCTCTGGAAGAAGCAGGAAGTATATCACCCTCAGGGGCAGAGGCCCAGTGTGTCGACTTCACTGATAAATGAGATTTATCTCAAACATCAGCAGAGGATGTCCTGTATTATGTAGCTACAAAGACTTTGATTTATGATCACATCATACAAACATCTGCTATCTGTTTGTACCTACATCCAACCCCAACCACCCAAAAAAAATCCAATAAAAACATAAAATCGAGACTCTTCTTCTGCCACAGGTGTTCTACAAACGGGCCGACATGGCCATCGGTTCGCTGACCATAAATGAAGAGCGTTCAGAGATTATTGACTTCTCGGTGCCGTTTGTGGAGACGGGGATCAGCGTGATGGTGGCTCGGAGTAATGGGACGGTCTCTCCTTCTGCTTTTTTAGGTGAGGAATGTTTCCTAGAAGCATTTTAACTAAGATCAAAGCATCACTGTGCAAAAGGCCGGAAAACACGCGAAAATAAAGAAACTCATATCTCGACTTTTTTAGGCTGACATGCAATATGTGAGGCGTCACAACCGCTTTTATTTAAAGTCACTTTATCGTTATATAAAAATGCAAAAATAAAACATTACAAGGTTTTGGTTTCTCAGGAGCTGCTGCAGTTTCACAGGAAACCTTTTGAAACTTTTCTACCTATTTTCTTGATGTTTGCAATAATTACCTTTGTACTGGGTAAAATGATTTCGCTCGGCTGGGGATATTTCAAGTCTCTTTGAAGTGGGGCCGTGCGAGGTTTGGATCCACAGTCAGTGGACCTGTGGCAGATGGCAGCACCACCAACCGACACACTGTAGTAATATTATTAGTCACAGCTTCACTGAAGAAAAGCGTAAAGTAACAGAACTTCAAATGATATCAATAAAGTATACCATCTATGTCTTTTGCAAATATTGACACATTACGAATTATCAGTTTATTGTAGTGTGACCTCGTGGTCTACAGACGTAAAGTACCTGAACATCTATAAAACACTCATATTTGCATATATCTGCAAACATGTGCACTCGATTGGCTGTGCTCTCTGTCCCCGCAGAACCCTACAGTCCAGCCGTGTGGGTGATGATGTTCGTCATGTGTCTCACAGTTGTGGCCATCACAGTCTTTGTCTTTGAATACTGCAGTCCAGTTGGGTATAACCGCAGCCTGGTCAGTGCCAAAGGTGAGTCTCCTAACCCGGTCCAGTCCATCAGCGCCTCAGCCCTCGAACAATTAACCAAACAGAAACTTCATGCAAGCATTACAAGGACACAGATACCTGCTAATTGGGGCTAAAGATCTATTAAAACAGTGCAATTTTCCTCCAATTTCCTCCAAGACTTTGACCCGACACTCGTTGCGAGGCAGCTTGTTTTACGCTGCGTGTTGTGTACCTCAAGTCGAGTGTTTTGACCGATGCACAAAACATTATATTGATAGAGATACGTTGTAATGGCCGCTATGATCTTCGTGGGTCTTCGTTAGATGGTGCCTTGCAGGGAAAAGCCTGTTCTAACGTTTGAGTCTAAGGTTTATTTTGAGCACCTGACGGTTCTTTTTACTTCTCATCAATGAACTCTCTCCACACTCTTTTACGTGATTATTGTGTACGTCATCTAAAGCAATGAAAAGATATTGCAGTAATTGGTGTGTTTTGCCATTAAATATAATTAAAAGGTTTTGTAAACTCATGAGATGAATAATGATTTAATCCGGCTAAAAGCCTCAGACTCTTAGTTGTCAAGGACTCATTTCTTCTTTAAGGTGAATGTTTGCCAGAGGATAGAAAAAAAAATCATCTTTTGTTTAAATTCAATGATATTTTGGTAGCAACATTTACCAAATACTGTGTTGGGTACCGTAATGAGCTTTTCTCTAATGGAAAACTGACCTGCACTTAGGGCTCAGTGAGGGTCATTTTGGACTTTGGTTATTTGTATCCATGAAAATCTTCTTAAAATGTTTGCACCCACAAAACCATTTTACATTTTTATTTTTTCTGAATTCGCAAACATTCTCGGAAAGTTTAAAGTGGAATTTAATCCATGCAGAAAATATTGATCAAGATATACATTTTCCATTTTAAACTAGCAAACAAACTTTTTTCCAGTATTCAGCAGCAAAATACCATTTTAATGTCATTTTAAAAACTGATTTAACACATGGCAGACCTGACTTGTTAAAGGTTTCATATCCAATCCTGTTTACAGTGGCCACGTTGGATCGATGCCTGGTAGATTGAAATTAAACTGCAGCGTCTCAGAGCCATGTGGGTCTATGAAATGTTCTATAATGGATGAAGGACATATGGGTTAAACCCATTTAATCTTTATTACAGCAGTCTTTATTTTTATATATTCTATAAAGTACGACATATATGACGTCACAAAGGTAACAATATAAACAATAAAACAATAACAATAAATAATAAAACACCAATCATGTTCTTTTTGACATGTAACTTGAGATTTACCCAACTGGTGTCTTTGTGACCATCAGCACATTCAGTTACATATTATTGCTGCATAAGTCAGTTTGATTTAGACTGAAATACTACACCAATAACTCAAGACCAGTCAGTAATATTTGGGTAATAAAGAGTTAAATGAAAGCTGACATAGGCAAACTTGGACAACGTTCTTTTGTATATACTTATCTAATCAAATACCAGTTGCAGCCGGTGTGTTCTCAAATTGCAAAGAGTCACATCACAGATGGCGCAAACTGACTGACATAATCCACACATCTTCACCAGTCCATCTCAGAGTGACTGCAGTCAATCTAAATTGTACAGTAACCGTTTGGAGACTGGTTGCCTCCCACCAGCCAACCTGTGCAATCACCAAACTACTAGGCAACTACCAATTTTCAAGGATGTTGCCTTCCTATTTCTAGTTTACTGTGATTGAGCCATTAGGGGAAAAACTCAATTATCATCAGAAGTGAAAGTCTGAACAATAAGTATAACTATGTTTGTTCATCCCTAAAGTTTTCTCTATCACTAATATGTTAGCAAAAAACACGTCAAGATATTAATTAACAAATAAATATTTTAAACGTGTTAGATTTCACAGATACTTGGGTCATCGTCTTTGCCGGTACTAAATGTCCCCTCTTTACTTCATCCTTTCTAGATCCCGGAGGTCCCACCTTTACCATCGGGAAGTCTGTGTGGCTGCTGTGGGGAATTGTCTTCAATAACTCTGTCCCTGTTGAGAATCCAAAGGGCACCACTAGCAAGATCATGGTCCTGGTCTGGGCTTTCTTTGCCGTCATCTTCCTGGCTTCCTACACAGCCAACCTGGCAGCCTTCATGATCCAGGAGCAGTACATCGACACAGTGTCCGGACTGAGTGACAAAAAGGTACAGACCTCTGTCATTGACCGTCCTGGGCGTGTTGCTGTGTTTAATGTACAGCTTAGGAAAGTGCTCTATTTTAGGAGTGCAAACAACATGTGGCAGAGCTATGAAGTGTAAACATCCAGAAATGCCAATGTCATAGCTGTGACTTTCCACTTTCCCTGCAAAACACTAAAGGGTTCACACAGTAAGTGGGGAAATTGAATTACACAGCCAGACTCTTTGGAAGGTGATGTCAACGGAAAGCCTGTGAAACATAATACACAAGTGGATTTTCTGGGTAGACGGCGATTATATTTTTCTGGTATTATCTTATGCATATTTGTGTGGCCCGGGGATGTGTTTTATAGGAATATTGACGAGGAAATCCATGTTAAACCATCAGCACAAAAAATGATTTGCAGACTTTTTGCTTGCAGGCAACTGAAGGGATTAAAGAGGCATTTGAGGAAAAGACCAAGCAGTCCGCCGCTCATTACGAGTCTAGCAAAGTCATTTATAATTCCAGTTTCATCATACATTAACTCTGCCATGCAGCGAAGGAAACAGAATCAGTCTGACAGTGAGCCCATAGATTATTAAAGGGAATTCTGCATGGCAGCATGGTGGGAAGTGAGCGCTCAACTGCTGTTGGTCCAGCTGTGCCGAACCCCTTAGGTTAAGTAAATGTAAATGAGGTACAAGAAGACACCACAGAACGTGACCTTGTATCAGAGGAGAGTGATAGAGACAAGCTCAGCTACTTTCAAGACACTGCAGTGTTAAGGGAGATGATTACCTCTTTTGTCCAGAAAAGGCACTTCACTTACACAACAACTTTTTGCAAGTCGGAAGTCGGTAACACGTCACTACCCCGAACTTCTTTTGGCACTGCATCTCTAACCTTTAAAGTAGGGGTGTAATAATTCTCCAAAACCACAGTTCATGCCATGCCTTTTCTTCAGAGTTGATGGTGAAAAATATTCATTATTCTGATGGCTTTCTGCAAAATCTTCATCCAGGTGGATTCAGGGTCTGAATCAGTCTGATACTGATAAACATCAGGAATACTGTGTCGTATATTTGTTCATTTTTGACTTCTGGACAATGCAGATGTTCAGAAGTTCATGTCTGATGGCTTGAATTGTAAAGATCAACAGGTATCAGATCAGCACCTACTGACCAATCAGTTCTTGAGACAATAGCGTCACCCTGGAAGATCCCTGGGACCTCTGTGTGGACACCAGGAGGGTCTAAAGATTCTTATTTGCAGCTTTAGTCCTTTACATTTCTTCTGTTGGCTGCAAACAATTTCACAACAATTTTATTGTTTATGCTCCTTAATATAAAACCCTAAAGCAGGACGTCCATTTGTACCTGCGGACCTTATCAAATTTCCACGCTGTCTAAGCCAGGCATGTCCAACACATTTTACCCCGTGGATTACATACGGCCCACTCCCCTGAAGCTCCCCTGTCTGTCAGTGTAAAGGAGTTCAACTACACTTGCGATTTCAACAGAACGTCTCAGTTTTTCTCCAAGGTAAATAAATGTTGCTTCAGTAAATGAAAGAAATCTATCAGCGCGACTCTTTGGGCTTAAACTGTAAGAAATAAATGTGTAAAATTACAGAAAAACATCGGTTAGCTCACAGCCTAGCACTGTTTTTTTTTTTTTACTGTAGATCCAAACGTTTTTATAGCAGACGAGAACTTTTCTGTCATTTAAATGTTTTTCTATTACTTAATTACTTCAGTGTACCAAGAATGACCATGTGGGAAGTCTTTATTAGTGAAAAAACCTCTAGTGGGCCAAAATGCTTTTCTGTTGCTGGGCAGATTCTGGCCCCTGGGCCGTATGTTTGACATCCTTGGTTGGATTTTGTTGATCATTCTGCAGATGAACAAATGAAAACTAAAAATCTTCCGCACATCTAAAATTTAATAAAATAAAATAATTAATTGGTGCCTTAATTTTTATTAATAGTTCAGCCCTTTTCATCTTGGCTTCAGATAGGCGATACTACACTACTGCACACTGACTTTCAGTCACTCATACAGGCGGTTTTTCTGTAGCAGCTGTGTTGGTTTCAGTCTGTAAAGTCAGTGTAGCCTCTTATTTTTAAGATAATATAGTTTCATGTTCCTTTGGGAAGTTTTATTTGTGGTCAGATGATGCCAATGACATCTCAGTCATGAGGACATGATTGAAAGCCCTGGGTTGATTTATTGAGTTGATAACCACCTTTGTGTGACTGCTTACCCTGATTGCCAGTGTTGGAGTAAGTGAGGTGAAATGATATCCTGGGTATGTTGTACTTGCTTCGTACTACAGGCCCCCGACTGACCATTAATAACGCTGATCCTGGGCTGATGTCAGCAGCCTGTGCTGCAGCTGATGTGATTTCCTCCAGAAGTGTTAGCTTCTGCCATGCAGACTGCAGCAAATGTCATTTCTCTGTTTTCTCATATTATCTGTCACATTATCAGATTTTCACTGTAATATAATTAGACAGTCATAGTAGAATTTGAAAAAACAAATCACAATGATTATATTATTATGAATCCTAGAGAAAATTAAAAAACAGATAACGGGACTGGTTAAATTAATAACTTTGTTTTTTGAGCAACGAGGTGACGAAATGCATAACTGTACAAACAAATATAATTTGTTTACATATCAATCTCTGTGCATTTTATCACAATATTGATATTTCATTTCTAAATATGAAGACGGGATACGTTACGGGCGGAGACTGCACTGGTGTTCCTCATAATGCCAACACTGTAACCTGTACTCTGCTACTTCGGTTTCTTTATTTTAACAGCTGACGATTTGTGTTTAATCTCAGTCTGTTCACGAGCACTCTGTCTTTCTGAGATGCACAAATTTTATACAAAGTAACTTGATGTTCAGCTTGTAATCAGACACAATCAGCTCCAACAGAACAGCCTACAAGAGCTACATCTAGACGCTAAACACCACAATACAGGAGCCACCAACCAGCATTGTGGAGCTTAGTTGTATTGTTTAGTTGTATTCAATTTAGAAAGACTTCCTTTAATGAAAAATTTAAAAAAAATAATAATAACTTCGGCATGCTGTGAATTATTTTGTCTGAAAACAGACAATATTGGATCCAAAGATCAGGGTTTTTTTAATGGAAATTGTAATCATCACATTTCAGTTTTTCCTTGAGCCTTCTTGTTCTTATTTCTCTTTCACATGAGGAGAAGTGCTTCCTCATAAAACATCAGAGTGATTGAATAATCTATGTCTATATGCCATCGTCTCTCCTGAGACACTTATTCGATCAACGGCATTATTTTTGTCATTAAAAATTGTTATTCTACTTCCAGTTTCAAAAGCCGCAGGAGCAGTATCCTCCATTCCGCTTTGGTACCGTCCCAAATGGCAGCACAGAGCGCAACATAAGGAGTAACTATCCCGAGATGCATGCCCACATGGTCAAATACAACCAGAAGGGAGTGGAGGATGCCCTTAACAGCCTCAAAACAGGGTAAGTGTCTGCCAGGAATCGTAAAAAGTCTCCTCACAGCAGACGTGTGACTGAAAGAAGAGCCAGACAATTACACGATGGCCATTTGAGTAAAATCCTTTTCTTTACCCTGCTAGGAAACTGGATGCTTTTATCTATGACGCTGCTGTGTTGAATTACATGGCTGGCAAAGATGAAGGCTGTAAGCTGGTGACAATTGGCAGTGGCAAAGTGTTTGCTACCACTGGTTATGGCATTGCACTCCAGAAGGATTCACGCTGGAAACGACCCATCGACCTGGCCCTGCTCCAGTTCCTGGCTGATGGTAAATTCTTCATTTAATAGATTGCTTTAATATTTGTATTTGCAGTATTCCCACAAAGCTGAATGAGAAAAAATTCTAATGATTGAAAGCAAAACCTATACTGTTGTAATAAAAGGGCCACACAATATTATTACAGTAAAATGTATCTGAATGAGAGAATGAAAGATAAAAGCAATAAAGAAACTTTCATGAGATAAGATCAAATGTGATTCATTAGGTCCTTAGGCAAAATATTGCAAAGCCTCGGGCAAAATCCCCATAACCTTTGGCAGAATATGCAGTAGGTAAACATTTGGATAATAAAGCACACTGTCAGACTTATCACTGCTCAGATCAGCAGCAAAGGCACACGATTTAGGCAGGAAGATTTTTGGAAGATGGTGGTTTATGTTTCTTTTGATTTGTAGCTTTATTTTTACTGATATCGCTGCTAACATGTTTGCTAGAGCCAGCGATGTGAAAGCTTTCTTTGCAATAATAGCCATAAGGCTGGGCGATGGTCTCCATCACTGGATCATCGTATCGTCCCCCTGAGAAATCACAAATAACCAATGGCATCGGTGCAGGACATACAGGGGCTGGGGGTTAAAGTTCACTTGTTAAGGTAGCACTTTCCACCCTCTGTAATGCATACTGTACTGATCGAACAAAACAAACAGAGCACTACAGCTGAAATACACACACCAGAGAGCACTTCCCTTATCCAACATTACGAGAGACGCTGCAGCAGTTGGAGAGAGTCATTTATACAGCACAAAAAAAGCATGATTTAGACACTGTAATTAGTGAGAATAAGTTGAAAGTTATCATTTGATCAGTTGCCTGGATCTTTTTTGTAATTAATTAATTACTTAATTATTTAAGGTCGTTCTGAGTCCTCCAGTGTTTCTTCATATGTGGGAATCTCACCTGGTTCTCCTCTAGTGTCCGCCATGACCTCTGCATACATACGTAGTATGTAGTAGAGGCTGTTAAGCTCTAATTTAAAAATGAAACCATCCTTGCGTTTTCTCTCATTTTGAGATGCACCAGTGCAGCCATTCCACACATGCACATTTATTCCAAAGGAAGCAGAAGTGCGTGCAAGGACTTGTGTGTGCATGCATGCGTGCACCAAGACAAGTCCAAGTCGCAGTTGTCGGTAACATGTGGAGATATCGCATAACATAGCAAGACGGATAATAGGCTTGTAATGCCTTACTTGCACTGAGTCTGCCCCCTCAGATTGTTGTCTGCATCTGCACAAACCTAAATGACTATAATAAAGGGGATCCTGAAACTGAAAAGAAATGCTACCTTGGTCTTGTTTTCTGCTTAGTTCAATATGAACTTTGCATGAATTAAATTCACAGAGGTGCATTTCCTTCTTGCAGCCAGGTAAATGTTACCCATGCCCCCACCTGGTCTGTGGGGCTGCAGTTTGAGACCCCCTTGTTTTAGACAAACAACCGCTGTCTGCCCAGGATTTTTCAATTTGCAAAAAAAAACAACTTTACTCCGTTTTATCTGGGGTACTGATTATCTGAAAGAATTTCATTATCCCATGTGAATGATGTTCAAAGGAGATTGGAGGGTGTTCTATTACTCCCTAAAAATACTGCTAGTGTTATGCAAATAGAGCTTAAGCCTGTATTCTGTGCTCCTCGCTCACAGGTGACACACAAAAGCTGCAGACCGTCTGGCTCACTGGCATCTGCCGTAATGAAAAGAAAGAAGTCATGAGCAGTAAGCTGGACATTGACAATATGGCGGGGGTCTTCTACATGCTGCTTGTTGCCATGGGCCTGAGCCTGCTGGTTTTTGCTTGGGAACATCTCCTCTACTGGAAACTACGACATTCAGTCCACAAATCAGAGCGCTTGGACTTCCTCCTAGCTATCAGCAGAGTAAGTACCTAAGTGGTTTATGTTACTTTCATCAGCCACGTAGCTTTAAGAAGTGCATTCATGTGCTGTCAGTAAAATCTAAAAAACAATCTATAATAATAATAATAATAATAATAAGTTCCCAACAAGGAAAATTCACCCAAACAGATTCAGTGCTCATGTTTACGCAAACTAACGGCACAAAAATTCACAATTGTAAAAAAAATGCTGTATCCTTTGTGAGGTCTCCTTCAAAGTAGAGCATTAAAAGACATCGGAAATCCAGTAGGTGAGTAACACAACCACAATAGTTCAAGGGTAGCAAAAGAAAGACTGTAAAATACAGTGAGCTTAAAGCAATGAAGGGACTTCAGGGATACTGGAATAAAGTGGCAGTCGTGCTGCTGGTGAAACTGAATCTAAATTGCCCCATTAAAAAAAAAAAAAAAACTTCATCTGTGTGTCTAGTGTAGTCAAAAATGAGATTAAGTATTCCAAAGAGATATGCAATGTGGATGTAAAATATAGCTGATGGGATAAAAGTGGAAAAACTAATATGGTAAGTGCACGATCAGCAAATCGCTCATTTATATTCCTGAGATGAAGCTGTGTCCAAACAACATTTCAATCACAGCAACACGCACATAAACCATCAAAACAATAACGACTCCTTCTGCAGTTACAGCTTTCTGTCATTTTTTTCCACTTTACTAGGTCAGCATGTCAATAAAATCTCTCTTTTTTTAAAATCCCACTCAGTTGATGAAATTGCCGGTCATTCTGGTATCTAATGAAGTTTACACATATTAATATTAACTTTCCACCTCTCCGCAGGGCATCTACAGCTGCTTCAATGGGGTAGAGTCCGCTGACCACAACGGGAGCATACAGAGTCCAGATGTCACTTCTAACTATACACAAGCCAATATGCTAAAGATGCTTAAAACAGCCAAGGACATGGTGTCCTCTGCAAGAGTGGAGAACTCTTTGGATAATGCCACCAAAACAATAGAGAACTGGAGCAGGCGGGGGGCCGACAATGTGCGAGCTGCCCTGCCACCCAGAGTTACCACCACAGACATGACTCACGGACGCCTGCCCTACATCTCAAGCATCACAGACAACCATTCTCCGTACCCTCAGAGGGCCATTACACCCACCTTTCCCATTCATTATGGGGATTCTTCATCCCAAACCCTCCTGGATAAGCCCCGGGTGGTAACTCGGCCAACCCCACTCCGGTACACGCTGCCCGCCCGCAGCAGTCAGCACATCTTAGAGAGGACTCTGCCCATCTCCAGTCTCAGCAGCCCTCACATCGCCATAAGGGATCCTTCTCCTGCTGGACCGTCAAACCCCCATCCCAGCAGCAGGCTGTATGTGGAGAACCAAGCCCGTCACCCCATCTCTCCTTTTGCCACTTACAGGGACTTCCAGATGCCAGATATCTACATGGAACACAGAGCACCCCTGAGGAGGAAGTTCAGCTACCCCCCTGACTGTGTGAGCCGCAGGAGGAGGTCCCATAGCTATGTGTTTGATGCTGCAGACCCGAGAGTAAGAGGTGATTACGATGGACCTCAAACCTGCCTCGCCGAGCTGAGAGCAAATCACCTCCTAAGCAACCACGCCTCCAATGCAGCTGCCATGCCTTGCACCGCAGGACACTACCCTAGTGGCAGCACCAGCTGCAACTCCTGCATGAAGTCCTACCTGGAACCCGACATGGACGACATACCACTCCTCGGAAAGGACAAGCTGAACCGCCGCGCCTCATTCCTCAAAGCCACATGGGGCAATGACAGGATCCATCAGGTAGATGAAACAAAGCCTTCGACATCCACATCTCCCCCGACCAGAGGAGACATGCCTGACCTGTTTCCACGGGTGGTAGTGGCTAACCCCAAACCCCACAAGCTATATGGCAGTCTGGGGCACAACCTGTCCTGCTACCCTTTGGCTGCTGAGCCAGCCTACTTGGACCCAGCCCACATGGGCTCCTACCCCTACAAGCAAAAGCTCAAGTACTCCGAGTCCACCCGGCTGCCCTCTTACAGGGAAGCCATTCTGCAGAACGCAGCCGCCCTGCGCCGTTCTTCCTCCACAGTGGTGCACAGACACTATTCCACCTACCTGAACTCGTACACAGACTTACCCGTGTACGTGGGGCCACTGGCTCAGGGACCGTCCCAGTTCTACAACAGTTCCAAGGACATGTGCCACTTGTTTCCCTGTACAAGCCACTGCCCAGACAATGCAGCAATGCTGCCTCGTATGAGTGACAGGCAGATGGTTTACCACAACAATATGTTTGGGGCCTACGATGGCACAGGAAACAGGGAAGACCCAGGCTCTGGGCCTAGAGACCGGAGGCAGGTGTTGGTTGCGCGAAGAGTCAACAGTCCCTATGTGCCAAAGCCCTGGGGTAGGGTTTCAAGCCTGGAGTCTGAGGTCTGAACCACCATCCTTAACAGTCCTCCATTAGGCTCTGTGACTGAGCCCCAAGGAATGCCTGGAGGTTCTCCCCTCAGCCTCTGGTTAAAGCAAAAATAAAACTCTACACCAACAGTGTATTTGAGAGCATTGACTCTCAATTATCAGTGCAATAATATCTTGGGCAGTGATATGTAAAAGGAGAAGACACTCAAAAACAAGTTACTGCTGGGACTTTATAAGCCAAACTGAAATACAAATTTTAAAAAAGGCAATGTTGAAAAGTATTTAATACATAAGAATTTAACCCGTTGATTGTTATTTAAACGATTTTTAAATGCTGTGTTGCTATGTGAACGAATACTGGGAGACAATATACTGTAGCCTCTCGATCTGATTACAACTTGTGATTTTCTGCTCTCATTTCCTACAAATTCACTTCAGTTTCCCACCATTTCGATTGAGTGATAAATTATCGATATGATTTTGTGATCAAACCACTGACATGTCTTCCGAAAATTTCTAAGTCCACAACCTTGGGCGCACCGTTGTTCTGAGACTTTCTGCTCCACTGGTCATTAATGTAATTTGACTGAGATTTTAAAAAGGGAAAACCATATAAAGTATCATGTATTTCCATTGTCACACTACCCTTTAATAAAGAACAAGGCCATCAAGGGTCTTTTGGGATCATCCTCTGTCCTCTTCATCTGTGTCCTCTCATATTCAAAGGACATAGAAAGAAAGTGGCTCTCTCATTTAAACTTGAGTTGTATTATGCACACAGTCCATCGAATCATACAGAAAGAATAAATACAGTATAGTGGAACCATTTTTCAGTGAAGTAGCCTAGGGTCTGCTATTCCACAGATCACTTATAATCTACAGATATTTAAACAAGACTTGGTCAAATCAAACAAGCGGTTTTTCCTAAATGACCCTGAAGATCAGTACATATGGTAACTAATACAGAAAGACAAGGAAATTATTTCACCTGGGAAAAGAAAAGAGAGGGATGTTTATCCATTTACAACAACAAAATCTGTATTTTTATGTTGTCACTGAAAAGTCTGAATTCCCAAAGGAGCAACAGAGGGTTCAAAGAGTTGCAGAGCTTAAGCCGAATCTCATATTTTCTAATGTTCAGTCAATGTTTTAGTAGATAAAACAACTGATTCACATTCACATATCAGTCAATATTGTTGTTATTATTGTTCAAATGATAAAATCCCTACAAAAAATATTGCTGTACAAGAGGTACAGCCCTGACAACTGCCCAAAGCAGAGTTAACAACTTCACTCCCATATCTGTCCTGACTTGATCTTAGATGTGTTTAAATATTAACTGCAGGCTCAAAAGCCATGGCGTTTTGGTTTCAGCTACAGTAACATGTAAAAAGATGTAAAAAGATGTAAAATGAGAAAGTTGCAAACAACAGAATATCCCTTCACACAGCTCACAGCATCCGTCTGGGTAACAAACCATAAGATCAACACTCATTCACACAACAGTCGTGTGCAAACAGCTCAGTCAGGGTGCTGCTGTTGAATCTGGCTGCCAATCTCTAAACACAGAGAGCTGCCCCTGCAGCCGCAGAGAAAGGCCGCACTCGAAATAAAACGAAAAGCAAAGGCAGTATAAAAATCAGAAGCACTGTAAGTAAGAGGGAAATGAGGCGTTTGAGCTGAGATGGTAAATATTACCACATTTTTAAAAAACGAGAGTAGGAATTTGTCTGCGGAGATGTCAATCCAAATAATCCATTGGTTGATTAGGACAGATCTATGTCTATGCTAATATTTAATGTGTTAATTCACCAATATTTAATCATAAGCTGCACATCTCCACAAACTGTCAGGAAATTTGGCCTGGTAGCTTTTCCTGCGAACTGACACAACAAAAAATAACCCGACTGATGGCTCAAATAACCTGTGTTCACACTCCATGTTGTTCACAAAGCACCAACTGCATGTGCCAAGCAAAAAACAAAGGGAAATGACTGCAGCTCAGCCAGCAGAATAAAGTTTACAAAGAGTTAAAACAAACACCGCACACAGCAGTATGAACGCTCAAAGCTTCAGCCAACAGATACCAGAACAATCAGCCAGGAGCAGATCTGCAGAGAGCAACGAAAACAGCCAGCAGCGTCAGCAGGCGCACTTCAGAACAGCAATTAAACAGAGTCCCGGCAGAAACTCACCTGTTAGCAGAGGCAGTAAACATTTATCGTGCCGAAGGTTCCCATACTCAAAGCAGCAATGAATATTTCTGATATTTACATGCCTAAAGCCAAATTACAGCATGCAACCATCACCGGCTTATCCAGAAGCAAAATAACACAGAAGACAGGCAAACTGTGTCCCATGTTCAATGCTACACATTCTCCATGTGATTCTGCTAAAGAAATCAGAATGTGTCTTTATTTAACCTCCTAGGACCTGCGTCCACATATGTGGACATCACATTTTGGGTTATTTAGACCAAAATACTCAATTTTGCTCTACAAGGGCCTGATATCCACTTACGAGGACATTATGCTGCTACTGTTCTATCGAAATTTTAATCAAATATCCTCATAAGTGGCTCTAATTTTTCTCAGAAACAAAAATTAGGCAAATTTTTTTTTAGGAATTCTTTGTTTTTACATTCATCAGGTCGCAATCAGCCCAAATATCAAAGAGAAATTAAAAATGCAAGTCGTGGAAGAGTTTGGGTCTTAGGAGGTTACGTGTGTTTGTTTCTATGAGGCATTCGTTTTCATTAAATAACAACTCTGAGAAGTATGGAACTAAGACACAACTGGACATTTACAGTAAACATGATAGCCGGCCTGACCTGGCTGATGTTCATCTGGGTGTCAGCTGTCAGTCTTCTCTTCCACCCTGCACAGACAGGAAGTAAAAGAATTGCAAATAAAGAAAATGAAAAAGAGAAGGAACTGACAGTTGCATACCTGAAAACACATAAAAATGATGAGAAAAGAAATAAAAAAATGCAGGATTGAAAATAAATACATGACATCTGGTCCACAACACTTCTCCGTCCTCAAGCTCAGAACTTACTATGCATTAGCAGCAGGCATCATGTATAAGAAACAGTAATCCAATAAAAATACTGTAAATAGGTAAAAACGGCAGTATTAGAATAAAAGCAAAAAGGTAAAATGAAAAAACAAAACAAAAACAGGAAGCTGGCATCTTGTTTATGTTAACATGTTCTGAACTTCTTTAATATTATTTGACTTTATATGTGACTTGAAAGCGGAGAAATTAGAAGCTCTTTAAACTAAGAACAGGCAGTAAAGACTCTCACACTGAGCTGAAATTAAACTAGTGCAAATACATTATTACTGTATGTATTTATGGACCAGTCTTTCCTTATTTCAGTGACAGATACAACCCCAGCAAATTTCTATTGGATGAACTTCTTTCTTTATTATTTATAGGGTGAGCATATTTTGACTTCCAAAAAAGAGGACACTTGGCCCAATCATAATAATACTGTTTGTTTATAAAAACATTGTTAACATATTTAAACGATGCCTTCTCCGTGTGGTTAATGAATGGCGAAATTCAAATGTCATATAGGCTTTTACAAGTCAACAAGCACAAAACGTTGGCCACCCTATTATTTATTTATTTATTGGAAGAAATCATTTAGCCTGACTGTTAGCTAGCAAGCTCGGCTCTTAGAGCTAATCAATTACGCTAGCCGAGATCACCTGTGCCCGACAGAGTTACACTGACCGCTGGAGGGCTACTGTCACGTGAAAATTACAAACAACACTCCGTTTAACAGCAGAAATAATCTCATATTTAAAGGATTTATACGAGTTTAACACAGACGAACGTACCGAAGCAAACAGGAGGAGAAACCGCGGTCCAAGTCTGGAGACACCAGCAGAGGGCGCTGCGCCTACTGACAGAAAACAGTGAAAACTACGTTAAAAATCCAAAAAAAATTAATATATTATTAGTAAAAAATAAATAAATAAATCATTTAATAGTTAATAGAATCGGGCGTGAATATATGGCAGTGAATAAACCCATTTAGGGGTCATCTACCTCCATCTCACCCTATCCTATACTCTGTCACGCCCATCATGTCCACTCTCCCTCCTCTGCGCATGTCCAAACCACACCTGTGTATCCCGAGCTGCCTCTCTGCTCCACTTATTTCTCACTCAACACCTCCAGCTCAGCCTCCTGGCTTTTTTCAGTTTAAACCATGCACCATCACAGGTCTCACTACCATCTAATAAACCTTCCCTTTCACTCTCGCTGCTTTCCTTCTGTCACAAATCACCCCTGACTCTCATCTCCACCCACTCCACCCCATCTGCACGCTCTTCTTCACCTCTCTTGTGTGCTGGCGTGTTTGTGGATGGTTGACCACAGGTGTTTAAACTCATCCACCTCACCACTTGCCCTCCTTGCATGTTCACCTTTCCACCTGTCTTCCTCTCATTCACACACGTATTCTGTCTCACTTCGACTGACTTTCATTCCTCTTCTCTCCAGTGCATACCTCCACCTATCCAGGCTCCCCCCCCCCACCTGCTCCCTACTCTTGCTACAGAACACAGTGTTGTCTGTGAACAGCATAGTCAATTTAGACTCCTGCCTGAGTAAAAATTATTCATTTATAAGTGGAAGTGGAATCAAGTAGCTAAATTAACCTTTGCTCTATAAGTCTGAACAATAAAGTATTTTATAATTTTCTTCTTGTTTTGCTTTTATTCATTTTGTAGTAACAAGCATACAAGAGATACAGAGAACACAAAAAATTGTTTTAATGCTTTCTATTATGCCTTGCAACAATTTTATTTGACTATAAGGTTTAAGCATATTCTTGATATTTTTTCTTCTTTCTCCTTTTATGTCACAACTTGTTGGAAACAGATCTATAAAAGCAGAGCACCCAATAAAATGAGATTGTTACTGAGGTATATTATACAGCTGGTATAATATAAAAGCATAAAATTATTTTAATGAATAATGAGTCCAGTCATCTGTTCATAGAAAGCCAGTTAGACACAAATATATTCATCCATGGGAATATTACCAATGGAGTGAAGTGAACACAAAGGGAAAGGGGGGGTCGGACCTCTTATATTGAAAAAAGAAATTGTTCTAAATGTAGTTTCTGATTTGTCAGACACACACATGTGAATTATTGGTTTAAAAAAGTGTTAGTCAAAATCAAACACTGAGTAATGCAAATCTGAGTTTTACTACATGTGACACATAGAGCAAAATGCACAAATAAATATGTTTCTGGAATGTCTCTATTTTCTTTTGATGGAGGAACTGGACATCAGCTCTGTATTAAATTTCATTTTTCTGCTTATGCTTCGCTTTGGGAAAGCATTAGTTTGAAAAATCACCTTATTTCGCACCAGCTGACAGCATCACATATATCCTGTATCAGCTTATTTCAGCTTTAATTGAAGCAATGTTTACACTGAGTGTTCACAGCCAAGAGTCCTATGTTTTTCAGGATGTATCATCCATCAAATGGACATATCAGAGATATACTGTGCATCAGTTACTGCAAATCTTTCCAACTTTTCACTAGAATTTGAAATAAAGTTGGATGGGCCCCTGCGCTGTCGTTCTGCGGGGAGAGCTGCCGCACTGTGTGGGGCATTAAAACAAAATTTTCCAAATCTGCAGGAAAATACTGCAAAAAAGAAGTTTGATTTGCTGGCAAACACACTTTAAAAGCCTTCAGACAAACTTTATTTTCACCCTGACATTATTTCAGTGTTTACACCAATTGCTGCGCGGGGCTGAAAGCCACACTCAGTTCTTAATCCTATCCAAACACAAGCTTTATCACAAAGCCAAACATAAAAGCCTAACACTACACTATGTCCCACTGAGTGTCTTTCTGATACTGTTTGAAATATTACAGCTCACAGTGCTTGATTTAACATATGTGCCACGTCAGCACATTGTAAAAGAGTCCGCTGGCCCTAATCGCTCTGATTTACTCAAACGTAGAAAGAAAAAGTCAAAGCCATGAGTGCAGTCTGTGGCCCATATTGATGCAAAATTCATATCTCTGCGTCTCATGCCTCGGGCTCTCGTGTGTTTTCATCTTGGCTCCAAGACAAACAGCGATATAATGGTGCAGCGATGAGGCGTTTATGTATTCTGCATCGCTCTCTGAGACCTGCGGAATTGATGTGAGGGCTGGCTGATTGCAGTGCAGTTGATAAATGATTCTACACATGCACGTAAAATATGACCAGCAATTCGCTTTGTCCAGAATATCCACTCACGTGCGCTGTAGCAGTCCTGACCCGCGAGCTGCTGAAGATGGTGAAAACTATTTTAAAACAGCAACGCTGTTTTCAGAGTTACCACACTGGAAGAGAACACTATCATCATCACTGATTACTCACATTAGCAGTCAAGTGTGAAACATTTACACAAGTGACAAGAATACATTATATTAATAAATACAATCATATAGTTAACACGGCAAAAACAGTTTCACTGCAAGCTTGTCAAATGAAAAAGACTTGAAATGAGTTATGCTAAAAAAAATACTAAACAACAAAAACCTGTGTTTGAACTAAATATCTGTGCTGAAACAAAGACTCAGGTGTTCAGTCCACAAAATAATCATCCACATACATTATTCATGGACTTTGACATAATTCAGCACAGTGTGTGCTGTGTTTCACTTCAACTGTCCAATGTGTGACCCTTATCAGTATGGCCCTCTGCTGCCCATACTCCACAGTCCAGACAATGTATGTTAGATTCATTTATGTTGGATTAACGAGTAATTCTAAATTGACAGTAGGGGTGGGAAGAGAAAAAAAAATCGATACTGTGTAGTATCGTGATATTTTGTTTGCTAATAATGTATCGATACAGGGACAGCAGAAATCGATATTTTGTTACAAAAAAGGTTTTTGTGCTCTGACTTCAGAGCATGTTGATCCTTTTTCTGAGCAAGAATCCTGACATTCCTTCACTGTCCAAATGTGTTTAACTTTTTTTATGGCAGCAATAAACATGACAGTTTACTTATTTTAATTGAAGACATGTTTTATTTTAATTAAGTTCAAAACTTTTTTATTTAATGTAAAATTATATTTTGTTTCAATTTACTTTCAAATTCTTCAGTTGCTGAAGGGGCTGCATAGTTTTCATAAATTGCAGAGTTCAGAATAGCTGTAATTGTACCAGATGGTTGCATTCAGTTAAGTTGGACTAGACTGTAATACAAACCGTTCAGTTTGTCAACAATAAAACTGACATGAGAGAAAGACTGAGTGCGAGACTTTGATATTAGATAAAATGAATATTGATAAAGTTTACCTTTATGTACAAAATCTGAATATCGCAAAATATTTTTAAATTTTGCAATAATATCGTATCGTGGGATGTATGGTGATTCCCACCTCTAATTGACAGTAGGTCTAAATTTGCAGTAGCCCTGCAAAAGACTGGCATCACACCTGTGGTCTACCCTGCCATTCATCCTGCGACAGCGGCAATGGGCTCCAGTCCTTCGTTTACAAAGGTGGTGCACATCACACATGGATTTCAGGACCAAAGGTGTCATGATCTGAGTGTCTGGTGTTTTTCGGTATGGGTCCTGTGGTTTCCTGTGTTCGCCCAGCAGAGGGGCTTTTAAGGCCAGCTCAGTCCTCCAGTCTTTGACAGTCTATCAGCTACCTCACAGTGGTAACTACGCCTCTCGTGTCTCTTGCCTCGTACTTACCCTTGTCTCTTTGTGTCCCCAGTTCTCTCGCCTCTGATTAGACTCACCTGCAGTGCAATCTCCTGGCCACTATTGATAAAATTCACCAAGCCTGCTTACAAACTCATTCCTGGAGAAGGCAACCACTCACCTGCCGGCCCTCCTTCCCAACATCACTCCTGGATTTCCTTTCAAACACCCCGCCATTCAGGCAGACGCTCACCCCGCCACCCTCCCTGAAGCCTCTCGCACATTTTCCAGAGGGTGAATCCCTGTCCCAAAGGTGAGATCAGACCTCTCATCGAGTGAAACCGCTAAATGTCAACTGCTTCTCCACAGAATCCAATAAAGTCGCCGTTCTCTGAGAATCTTCCAGCAGCTTCTAAATCAGGTGCATTTCAGCTCAAAGACAGCAAGCCGATTAAGCGCACTGATTAATTCACAGCCTTTAATTGTGCATAATTAGAGAAGAATTAAAGAGAATTAATTTGTGTGCTCTGGGCCTGTTTATCCTCTGAAAATCTTTGAGCAGAAAATTCTGTTTATTCGTGGTTCCTAGAGTTCCCTGCAGAGTGCACCAGGCTTTCCGAATTTTCAGTGAGTAATCAGTCTGCAGAGCCACAGAAATCATTCACAGTAATGAAAACTAGTGTTCACAGTACAGAAATAAAAGAAATGGGATTTTAAGGAGGTAACAGTTAGATCAATTACACGTAGAAACGCCAATCTTTGAGAGCAATCGATCTGCGGCTCTGGAGCAGAAGAGAACTGTGTCAGAACTTCACCTGACAGACAGGCAGCCTCGTGTTGTGTGATTAGGACGTGCAGTATAGTAATAAGCTGCAGGATCCCCTGATTTCTATTCCTCATTTTCAGCAGATATCCCCATAATGTGTTTCCTGCGTATCCAAAGAAAAGCTTTGATTATATTTTAAAGTGGTTTCTGGGTTAAATGCTCCGCATAGCTGCGTCTCAGCATGCCGTGCTCACTAATGGGAGCTGTTCACTGATATCACTGGCTGATGAGTGCTTTTCACTGTGGCTCGGTATCATATAGAAACATGACTTCTGATTGGACAAAGACAGATTAATGCCATAAGCACTTAATAAGTGTGAGAATCGAGTCTCGGCTGAATAAACTCATTCGGTGGAACTTTAATGTAAATCTCTACAGGCACGTATTTGAACTGGCCAGCATTCATTCAGCTGAGCCGGTAATTACTGAGTAATTCTGTGATCTGTGCTTTAATTGGTGACAAATTCATTGCCTCTCACTCCCATTTAAAATGTATGAACTCATAGAAGGTGGGTGTACAAGGATGAGCCATGCAAGACGATTTATTTCCCAATTTTTATCACATAAATACTGGACAAGATTACATCTAGTGTCAGGGGATTGTTTATGAATACGATTTCACTCTTGATTCCCTCTGCATATTGGAAATATTGAAATTAGACAGTCACAGGTACATCTGAGCTGCTGATGTGCATCCACAGTGAGAGAAAAGTTGACTAAAGGCCTCAGGCACTGTGCTGATGTCCTATCACCGAGCAATTAATTTCACACTGTGACTCCATTTGGTTATTTGCATGAAGGATGAACCAAATAAAGGTGCAAAATATTTTATATTTTTCATTTAAAACATTGAACAAATAACAAAATGTATTAGCAGACTCCGACGGCATGACAGGCAAACACATCTATGTATTGGAATAATAAATGTATCTTAGGTTTGCATGCTAACCAGCTAGCTCTGTCCTCTTTTATAGATATGAGTCACTGAAGCGTCCCGTCTGCCTGCAATCCAACAGAGGGAAAGGATCGCTCTGAGAATAGTCTACACACTTGATCAAAGTCTTTCCAGAAGCAAGTCCACTTGGCTGCTATATCAGCAACACCTCAAAGCAGTTAAGGCCAAACCTCATTAACCCAAACAGTCTAGCCTAGCAGATAGGCTTCGCTGTAATTTTAATGGTCGCCAGACAGAAAAATTAGAGGATTAAAAACAACAACAAAGTTTTAGAGCTTTTAGAAAAATGACCTATTATAAGGTTTAAAACGAAGAAAAATATGTTTCCTTTGTGGCCCAGAGGCCAATCACAATCTCTGCTCATCCCACCACAGCACTGAATAAGTGCCAGGTCAGCCGACCTCGTGGACACTTTAAACCAGAAACAAGCAGATATGTTGAAGCTGTGCTGGACCTCGGCTTCACCCATGTTAGTGAAACATCGCACTCATTGGGAAGCTGTTGGTGGCAGAGCCGGGACGATCTAGCATTCTGTTTTAGGCTCTTTGAGTTCTACGTCCCGTCATGTCTCTTATGATGGCAGAAAGAATGAATAGCAGAAGCTAACGATCACTCGAGAGCAGGATTAACACGAGTCTCTAGCGTGGACTTTCTATTGCTCCGTTTCCTTGTAGGTCAGTTACGTTCGCCCTTCATCTCGTGAAGTACGGTGTCTTTTGGCAGTGGAGCGTGTGACTGAGCTGAAGCTCTCAATGAGACGGGTTTCAACCCAAACCACAATAGTTTCTGAATTCTAACCAAAAATCAAAATAGTTTAGTTGGTTAAATGTAAAAGTATGAAAAAGCAGTGAAAATCAAATAAAGCAGCAACTGAAAAAAAAATGCATATTCAATCACAACAGACAAAGGACCAAACAAGGTCTTGGCTGATAATCCTGAGACTAATGCCGCCAGTACCGATCCGGTCAGGCACAGCGGCGGTCAGGAGGCACGACGGAGGAGCAACCTGAGGTGCTATCCCTCAGCTTGAATTAGCACAAAGAACAAACAAGGATTTGTCACAATGAAAGAGAGGAGGAAGTAACGAAGGCCATAATGGTTGAAACTTATTGAGAGATCAGATCAGATCTGATGGTGCGCAATGACCAAATGATTTCTGCTGGGACACAAACGGCACTTTAACAAGCTCATGAGACACCAGAGCCGAGAGGACGGCAAAGAAAAAGTCACTTTTTAGTTTCTAGTTTTGCATCCGTAAAGGAAAAGAGTCCACAACAAGGTAGAGAATGTCGGTCACACTGCTTCGGTTCTGCTTTGCTTGTTTCTACTGCATCTACTTTACCCTTCACGGTTTTCCTCCCAGACCCTTCTGATCAACCCACAGACAATGTGTTAGTGATGTGTTTAATCAAACCACCTGGATGTGTAAGAGCTGGAAGATGGCCAGGCTTCACACTCACACACACACACACACACACACACACACACACACACACACACACACACACACACACACACACCCAGGCCCTTCTCATTAGCTTAGCCGTGATGTGTGGACCCGAGCTGACCAGCTGAGCCAGTTTCTGCAGAGACCTCAGGCCTGCTGTTTGTTTGATGAATCCTTGAACTCCCCTTCCACTGCAGGCATGACAGCTCTGTGGATGGAAACACAAAGCCACAGAGCGTGGGGGGGTGGACAAAATAACAGAAACGGTACATAAAAAAAGATATCTGAGCTTTTATCTAACCACATCACACCTCCCAAGGTATCAATGCGGGGAAGTCAGATGTGTCACCTTTAAAAGATGCCTGGTAATCATCACCTTTTAATATGAAAGTATTCAAAGAGAAATGATGCAACTGAGCTCCAAGGTGCAAACAGTCGGTGCTGCACTGCAGGTGTATCAGTCAAACACAGGATGACTTAACTGTGGAAACAAACTCCCTCGTGCATGGGTCATGAAAGACTAATACTAATAAAGTTTAGGTAAGAAATATGAATTTGTAAAAATCCAAAAATGCTAATAAAGATTAGAATGAGACCAAACACTGCAAAAAGTCTGCAAAGCTCAGGAAAGTGAAGTCCCTGCAGGAGTGTCTGAAACCTGCTTTCTCTGTAACAGGATCTCATAGATAACGGCCCCCAGCTGCCCGGCTGTCAGTAAACACCTTACTGATTAGTTCATGAGTTCAAATTTAATTTAATAGAACATGATGATTGTGTTTTAAATTGAGGTCTTTATTACAATAAAAAGGATAAGATGATGGGTGTTTTAAGGTGAGCATGCTCCACACTGTTCCTACACTCCGTCATCACAAGATCGTGACAGTGAAAACACGCACAGCTTCACAACAGTCTTAAGATATGTTCTGATCTCAATAAATATGTTTATACTGCACGCTGAAATCACGCGTACCATATTAACCCTCTGAGGTCTAATTCACCATCGAAATGACCCAAACCCTGACCCTAACATTAACTCTGACAATCTGAATATGTGATTTTGACAAACAGAGAACAAAGGAAATAATTCCAGCATGAGAAAATTTCCTTTTTTGGTTTTTAAAGGCAGTTTTGGTCACGTCTCCAAGATACAGGCTCGGGGTCGGGTTCGGTTTTTCCCCTATGATGACTTGGTGGTTAATTTCACATTACCATATTTATTACTTTTCTTAATTACCTTACTGATGGATTACGTGACACGTGACTGACAGACTTTGACAGCCATCAGGAAGGAGCTGTGATAATGGAGTGGAGTCACTTCATCAGGATACACTCCATAAACATTATTAACTGTGTGCTTCCCAGGGGACGAAGCCAGGGTGAGCTGCTGACATGAGGTCAGAGTGCGCAGTAAATCAGGCTAATGGACGCACAAAATATGCAACGGTGCAGAAAGGTATGGATCAAAGGAATGGCGTTCGCTCACTGATCAGTATTTCAGAGCTTTTTATTCAACATTAGGATCATCACAGGGCAAAAATACAACTGTTTTTGTTTCTTATAGTTCACAAAGTGCTCTCTATGTTCATGTGCATTCTTATTATTAAACCTGCAGGCGTCAGAAATCTAAATAAAAACTGCCAGAATCTGTAAATAGAGCCGTCGTCTGCAGCTCTCCCCTCAGAGAAAACATGAGTATATGCACCAACACAGCTCTTTTATTGGTTTCACATGGGCTTCAAACCCCACCCTGCAGGTGAAAAAGCCCTCAAACGGCCAAAGTCTCCTGTCATCAGGTTCATTTTCGTAGGTCTTAAAGAACAGAGCCCAAAGGAGGCGTGGGAGACTAGTTAGCTCTGTCTGTAACGGTTCACAGAAATCAAATGCATGGCAGTAAACTTCATAGTCCAAAATCTTAACCTTAACTGGCACGTTTGGAGTCATGTACAGGTTTCCACTCATCTCAGCGAACAGCATTAGCAAGCTCCAGGCAAAGGGCAAAGTTTAAAGAACAATCAAAAAGGTCAAACGGGAGGAGAGTCGATAGAGACGTGGAGAGTAAGAAAACAGCTGAACTGGAATCAAAAGAAATCAGGAGGCATACAGTGTAGGAACTGCAAGGGAAAAAAACAAAGCAATCCAGCAAACGCACAAAGAGAAGCGGGGGAGTGTAAATGCTGGGGTGAGGGGTTGTCTTATTGCTAGTGGTGTTGCAGAAAACCAGAGGGAACAAACAGGGGAAGTAAAGGAATGAATGAGAAGCTGGGATTGCAAAATGAAACAGGAGGTGGAAGAACAGAAACCCAAAATACATACAAGTATATTTACAATTGACTGAAATGTCACTATGAATGTGTTTGTTCTATCTGACTGAAAGTGTTCGTATGATGCTCCACCTGCAATCTGTAAACGAACATTAACAATGGAGTGCACTTTTACCTTAACATGAGTGAAACATGACGAATTATTCAAGCATTTGTCAAAACAAAACAGTTTTGAATGATGTCCTCATGTCCTCTTATGTCATTTACTAATGTGGTCACGCCACAATCAACTAACTCTGTTTCTGTCTGCAGAGGATGGATCCGTAAGCCCATCAGGGACGCGCTATTACCAGCCTCTGGTTGTTTGGCCTACGGGCGTCAGTCTGCCTGGGTCTTTTATTTGTGGCAGATGCCTTGGCATCTGTACCCAGGCCAGGAGCACTGGAGCAGATTGGTGGCCGTGATGGTGCCTGTTTTTCATCATTCGTTAGCCAAGGCCTGCAGATAAGCCATCGTCCCACAGGGGCCTTCCTCTGAAGCGTACTCTCAGGAAAAGATGGTGGGCCACATGTGAGGGTCTGTGGTGCCAAGACAGCAGGCGAATGAGATGATGGACACAGAAACATTGTCACTCTCAGACAGTGCTGGTATGCATGCTGAGATTAGATTATGTAATCTGTTCGACGGGGCTCTTATCTCGTGTGGAATAGTTTTTCTTCATCAACATCCAGTTGTAAATGAAGCGTATGACCGTGTTCCATGAGGAAGCTGCGCCCCTGTTTTATCTCTGCTCAGTTCTCTTTGTCACTCTGGTTTTCTGGTGCCGTCAGAATCACCTCAATAATAATTTCCTCATCACTGTTTTTGTCCAATGATCTGCCTGCTTTCTGCGAGCCAAGCACTCCCTGACTTTGTCTTTTAGTTCACTGTAATTCTGACGCTTTGCCTTTCAGGCCTGCGCTCTTTCAGGCTGTGCGAGGATCTCATCTGAAGCCTGCATCCGTCTCCTTCACCACCATCACCACACCACGGCGACTCTGAGATGACTGTCACTGTCGCCTACCTCCACCTGCTGCTCTGCTCTGTGATTTCATGCTCAGGCATAAAAATCTACTCCAACTTTCTCCTTATTACTACTCAGTGGTTTTGGAGGCACTGAATTGTGCGATACTCAGAACAGCAGATCAAAAGAGTCCTTGTGTGTTTGCATGTATGCGCAATCAAAATGTTGTTTTATTTTATGAATATAGTAGCATGTCATATACAACAAGCTTGAGCTGAGCTGTGTTTAACTGACGACTAAGCTAATGAGACTTCCTGATAGCGTAGCACAACATCCTCTTGATAGAATAGATCTTTACTGTCACTGTTACAAGAACAATGAAACACAGTTTCTCTCTGTTAGCAGCGTGTAGATTTTTACATTAAAATTCCTTCAGAATAAGAGCGAAAAAAGAGAAACCAAAAAAAATAAACTTAAAGTTAAAGAGGTGCCTACACTGAGAGTGTATGTAATAACATAAGTATCTACACATATGTGCAAGTTACAGTTACATATGCCGTATAAAGGAGCAGGTGCAATATGAGGAGCTAGTGATCGGTGGTAGCGCACAATGAATAGGAGGTAGGGCTACAGGTAGGCTGGTTGCTATTATAATAAATACGATTTATAAATACAGTGAAAATGTCCATAAATGTTAACAGCACAGTGAAGGGTGGAGGTGGGGGTGGAGGCATGTTTGACAGCCTGTGGGTAGAAACTTTTATTGAGGCTGTTTGTCTCGACCTGCAGCGTTTACCAGAGAGAAGTGAGTGTCCAGGGTGCGAGGGTGATGATGATACTTCTGCCAGTATATGTCTCTGAGGGGGGTCTGCCGCCCTCACCACCCGCTGCACTTTTCTCTTGTCCTCCACAGTACAGCAGTCAAACCACATATGATCCATTTTGGCTCCAAAGAAACAAGATGGCAGCGACCAAACTGTCAAAATTCAGGTTTCAGAGGGAGACGGAGGTAATAATGCTGCTCTCTGGAGCCGTAGCACCAGAATGTAAATTTCAAGGGGTAAACATTTTTCTTTTGGCAATTGATGTTTGTTGCGAGTGTAATGAAGACACTCAAAAATAAATTTCCTCTGGTCGGAAACTATTTTGTGCAATTTTCTTGCATTTAGTTCAACATTTACAGTTCAAACAGTGTTGGTCAAGTTACTTGAAAAAAGTAATCAGTAACTAATTACTGATTACTTCCCCCCAAAAAGTAATCCCGTTACTTTACTGATTACTTATTTTCAAAAGTAATTAATTACTTAGTTACTTAGTTACTTTTTAAAAACACGATTTACAACCTGAAGAGGTGATAAAGCGATAGATCTTTCAGCCCAATTCTACTTTTTCTGCATAATCCATCATACAAAATGTAATCAAATGGAAAAGTCTCTTTTTAAACTTGTTTTATTAGTTTTAATCTTTTAACTTTATGCATCAAGCAAAAATTTAATTATATGCAACATTCTCTGACTGGAAGAAATTAGTTTAACATTTAAACCTATTTTCTGCACATTCCAGCACATAAAATAAAATATTTTTGTGTGTTTACACTCAGTCTTTCAAATAGATGCAAGTAAAACACAGCAGAAAATAAATAAAGTCAAAGACTCAGCGGTCCTGTTGCTCTATTTTCACCTGTAAAGCAGGAGTGGGGTAGGCGGAGGGTTACCCTGGTGCAGGTGTGCCGCAGGTCAGTGGAAGAATCCGCGAGTTTCTCTGTGAGTTTCCCATTACGTCGTAGCTACTCGGTGCTTGTTGGAAGTTTAGGGGTTTTTTCGCTGTAAAAAGAAGTTTTCTTCCCACGCACAGCGGACACTAATGTTTTTGTCACTTTTTATGGAATCAAACTCAAAGTAAGGTCAGTACTTCCACGCTTTAAACGCTGCACGCTCATACTCTCTCTGCACTCGATATATGATCCATTGTTGATCTGCACACAGCTGTTGTCACGAACGTCGCACTCGCTTACGTCACTGTCGATGAGACATTCTCGCAAAAAAAATCACGGTTTTAGTAACGCAGAACGCCGTTCCTACGGGAAAGTAACGGTAATCTAATTACCGTTTTTGCAATAGTAATCCCTTACTTTACTCGTTACTTGAAAAAAGTAATCAGATTACAGTAACACGTTACTTGTAACGCGTTACTGCCCATCTCTGTTGAGAGATCTCTGAAATTTCTGTGAGTAGAAAAATGTGTAAAGAAAACCAAAACAAAAATGATGTTCAGTTTCTTTGCAGTTTGTTGCACTTTATGTAGTTACTATGAACTGAATGCATTCATATTATTCAAATTTGGGATATAATGGTTGTATTAATGTATGGCAACTAGAAGTGCTCTAAAAATGTCACTACAGCAGGTAAAAATGTAAAGATAAGCTCTAGAGGACTTGGTTCTACAAATGGGAAAAAAAGGAAGTGAAATGACTCTCCTCTGGATTCAGCCATCTTTTCTATACAGTCTATAGCAGCCAACCATACTGAAAGCTTTGCTGACCTTACACTTCGTTTTCTTACTGTTTTGACCGCTACTGTTAAAACCTGAAAATCTCCCAAAGCCATAAGTCAACACAAGTTATTAGGACACGTTATTTGGACGGTCGACGTATTAAGGTATAAAATATTCATGCATTTCATTTCCTCACCGCTTACTGGATGTGGAGACCCTCCACTGCACCTCCAGGTCTGAAGAAGCCGCCCCATCATCCTGTGCAGCTGCTGCCGCGCAGCCATGAAAACAGATAGGGAGAAAAATGAAACTGATTTATTTTTAGAAAAGCTTTAATATTCAGTTTACTGATGTTCCGCATTACTGTGAATCACATCTCACATTCTTTTTACTCAAGCTTTTAATGCTTGTGCTTGTTTGTTATGCATTTTTATCTAATGTGTCGTCTCTGCTCTTTGAATAATAGCTTGCACCTCGAGGACAAACTGGTACTAGCTGACCTTTAAGCCCCGGTACGTGACACGTGTACCCTTGAAAATGTGATCGCACTCAGCCCCGCGTGCCTTTCCTCTGTGGTCTACCATTGATCATTCACTTTCTCCAGCCACATTTTGCCATCTGGCTCAGGCTTTCAGACCAGTCACCTGCTGTTTACAAGCACATCTTTGCACTGTGAAGGTGGCGATGATGCCATCAGCTCGATGATTCAAACAGAATCTGCTAAAGATGCTGTTTAATAATCAATTTCTTTGTGATCTGTTTAAAAAAATACCACATGTATCTGCCAATGAGGCGGCTTTGCTACCTTGTGACACTGATGAGCACTTATTCTCCTTTAAAGTGGCATGCCATTAATTATGCCACAGTCTGATCAATTAACAGTGAAGATGCAGCGAATCGAGACCGGTTACAAACATGATTGATTTTAATGTCCTTGGCTAGTTTTCCTCCCTCCTCCTTTTTAGTCATATTCACTAACATCATGGCATCTATTTGCTCTGCAGCATCAAGTTTATACAGTCAGTAGTCGGTTTGAGAGGGACTCCACATCGAAAGGAGCCAGTGGAGACGGTTCGAGCGACAGACCAAGACGTGTGTCAGGCACGTCGAACTGGGATGAGGCTTTCAGCACAGACTCAGGCCACGTCCACACTTATACGTTTTCGTTTGAAACGCATCTTTTTCTCTCCGCTTTGGCTCACGGAAAACGCAGCGTTTTGAAAATGCTCTCCAAAGCGGATACATTTGAAAACGCCGTTTTCAGTGTGGACAGCGAACCCGGAGCCTTTTCGAAAATGATGACACATTTTAGTCATGTGACCAGACTAGCTTTTCTTCAAATTCTTTAATTCTCACTCGCTTTTGAAACTTTGTACTTTTGTGTTACTCGCAGCAACAACTCCACCTCATTGTTAGTCCATTTAAAAAACTCGGTGCTTTTCCTCGACATTTTGCCGCGACGTTTCAAAGAGCCGGAAAGGAAATAAACGGCAGAAAGAAATGAGGAAGGTCGAATCGTCTTGCGTTTCACGCAACTCTGTGAAAACGACTGAAAACGATAGTGTGGACGCGGAGCGTTTTCAGTCGAAAACACCGTTTTCAAATTTATCCGGGCTAGTGTGGACGTAGTCTGAGGGCTCGAAGCTAGAAGAGGTGGCCGGGATGACCCTAGGCTTGTCTTTTCTGCCTGTGATACGTATGGATGGATGCATGGAGTCAGTGGTTTATGAAAACTATATTTTTCTTTCTGTTGCATCTGAACAGCCTCCAGACACGTGAAGGTGTATAACTGTGTACACACACGTCATCTTACTGCCCTCCTGAGTCTTGTGCTCGTCCATAAAGTGACTCCATAAACGGATTCTCAGGCCTTCCACTCTTTGAATAAATCGCCTCACACTTCATAAACTTTCCCAGAGTGAGGCCAGGGTAGGTGTTGGAGAGCTGAGGATGGACAGAAATGAGGAGACAGAGTTCAACAGATGAGAAAGAAGAGTGTCCGAACAGACATTTATGTGGTGGTTAATATTGTAGTTATACTACAACATAAAAGAGACATTTAAAAATCATTTGGAAATGATTACAGGGTTTTGATTGAATTAGAAGGTCCTGCCAACTGGTCCAGAAACCAGCAGCTCATCTTCTTACTGGTTTTAGCAGATGGCATCACAGCACCTCGGTTCTGGCTTCCCTCTGCTGCTTTCCTGTAGGTTTTAAAATTGATTTTTCAGAGTCACTTTTAAAGCACGCTTGGGTCTTGTGCCAAGGAGCACGTCATATTAATTTGGAGACCATTCAAAGTATTTCATAGACGAAAGTCTAAAGGTGTTGCTGGAACAACTTCCTTTGAGCCACTTCCTAAAACATGTTTTTACAGACTGTCCTCTTTTATATTCTGATCATCATCTTTGTCATCACTTGCTGTCATTTGTTTATCAGTACTTATTGTTTATTGTTTAGTATTTCACACCGTTTTCAAATTTTAGGTCTGTCTGAACTTTGTTTGTGTCTAAACCACAACCAGTGCATCCAACACATCGATGTGGTAACCATAAAGTTCCTTCCACCATGAAGTTTTTCCACAGCGTGCCTTTTATCCTGTCTTCCTTCTTTCTCCCATGGCAGATGGCCCCGCCCCTCCCTGAGCCTGGTTCTGCTGGAGGTTTCTTCCTGTTAAAAGAGAGTTTTTCGTTCCCACGGTCGCTCATAGGGGGTCATGTGATTGTTGGGTTTTTCTCTGTATGTATTATTGTAGGGTCTACCTTACAATATAAAGCTCCTTGAGGCGACTGTTGTTGTGATTTGGCGCTGTATAAATAAAATTGAATAAGTACCCGTTTTTCGTGGGGTACACTTTTGACACCTCGCCCATATAGGCTTTCTTTCTTTTTTAGCTAAAAGTGACTTTAAATGAAAACAGCTCACTTTGGAGCCTCAAGGAATCGCAGCTTTTGGAATTTTCCTTCATTCCTTTTCTGCTTGTGTGTTTTCTCTGAGCCAATAATGAGACTTTGACTTCATTAAATTTCTTCCTTTCAGCCTCAGTTCACTGTGCACATGTGATGCATTCACATGAAAATTGTTTTCCTGACTTCGGTTGGACGCTTGTTGGTTTTTGAATTTATTTGTGTCGCTAAAGTTGAATAATAGATTGCTCAATCACGAATTAAACTAAGCACAGAAGTCATGGAATTATACCCTCCGCTAAACTGCCAACGCTAATTGGATGAAAAGTCAGTGGGCTGTGAAAAGGACTTTGTTTGTACTGAGGTTTCCGTATGTGAGCCGAGTGTTAATATGGTCTGCAGAGAATAAATTATTAGTTAAATATAGTCGCTAAAATGACTGATAACTTGATGGCACTGGATTCTTTGGAATCTCAGTTGGATTTTTGTGGTACTGTGTGAGGTTAACGAAGGATCTTCAAACAAACAGCAGCAAGAAAAGCCTGACTGTCGAGTGCCGGACACAATGCCGAATACACCGCCCGCCTGCATAAGCTTTAAATCGTGGGCGGGGTCGGTGATCAGTAGAGAGGATATTGGCTTTTTTTGAACATATCAGCTGATCAATATCACCTGTCACATGCCTTCTCTCATCATGTGCTGATGTCTTTGGTAATGACTAGTTCAAGGGCAATGGGAGTGCTTTAATGGGGTCCTCCCTACCTCCTCCATTTCATTTCCCGTGTCTATGAGAGAGACATGAAAGAAGGACGGGGCGGATCATTAAAGAGAGCTATTTCCTTTTTGGTAATAAGACAGAGCCAAGGTCAAGTTAAAAAAAAGAGAAAATCATGTTTCCATTTCACTCGTTTGCCTTTTCTTCATTTTCAGGAACATTGTTGAGACTGTGTTTGTATGCACACTGAGAAGTCTGCAAGTAATCAAGGTAAAATCAACGCAAGCTTAATGTCCCTCGAAGAAAGTCTAATATCAACATGCTCGTCCGCTTCCTCACAGCCTCCGCCTCAGTTTTTAAAGGATCGCTCTGCAGAAAGTGAATCTACCAATCGCTGAACATGCATGAATGATATGACACGTTTCTTTTATCTGCAAAAGACTGACAAGGGCAGTGATGACATGAAAGGTGAGGCTAAACAAACAGTCCTGGTTTGGTGCTCATATCAGACAGGATGGTGAAAGATAACCGCTTTGCCTCTTTGTCAAAGACAGATCTGCTCTTCACACTTTAAACTTTCTGCAGTGATGCTGGTCCCAGACAACTGTGGCTCCCTCTTTCACCAGTCATCCTAAATCCCCTTCTTGTCACACATTAGTTTCCTTTCTGTCCATTCCTCTGATCTTGGCTTTGTCCCTTTAATCAATCCAAGTTTCCCAAAGTTACCCAAATGCCCAAGTGTCCTTACAGGCAGCCTAAATTACGTTGTCAGTCCAGTGCCCCTTGTGGAAAGCTTAGGTTTCCTTTCTATCATTCTAAAAAGTCCTGCTCCAAATCCCCCGACCTCCCAAAGATCTGTTCTAATCAATCAAATATCCCACTGATCAACCTAAATCGCCCCCAAAGCCCCATAATCAGTGCTAATCATTGTTGGTCTGAATGCTCAAGCTCATTTCAAATCAGTCTAAGTAACTGTGTGACCAGCCTGGCTGCCACTAAAATCAATGCAGATGCACATGAGGTAAGCACTGTTAATGGATCCAGATGTGTTTGCAGTTTAGCCAGCTGCCGCTTTAATCAATAGAAAAAAACCCTTGTGATGAGCCCAGCCACCACTCTTCATGCATTCATCGTGTTAGTCCTAAAAGTTCGAAGTCTAAGATTTAAGTGGGTAAATAATCTAAAAGAATCATTTTCTACTTTGTTTGACCACATGAGTGTGTGGACTAAGTGCTCATGTGCTTAAACCTGCAATCTGTAGTCAGTCCAGTTTGTTTAAATGCAGACTCCGGGGGGCCTATCCCAGGACAAGAGGACAGGTCGGCGGTTTGTAGCAGGGCCAATGCAGAGAGACAGGCAAGCTCTGTGGGCAATATAGAATCACCAATGGTTAACCAAACCAAATAAGTGCATGTCTTTGGACTGTGGGAGGAAACAGTAGTAGTAGTAAAATCCACAAGCAATCTATAAGTCCATTTAAATCCCCTCCTGATAAAGTCAAGACCGTATTTCCCTCTCGCTCTTACAGCTCACCACTCACACACTACAGTCAAACTGACAGATCCCAGATGTGTCTGCATGTATCTGTGGGACTTTGTGGCAGTGTGACTGTTTGTGTTTGCTGAAAAAGCTCATTCAAGCTCAGCAAATCTTCCCCTGATAAACAAAGCGGAACGTGAACCAACAACAGTCATTTCAGCAGATATCCATCAGCCGCTTTGTGTCAACATCATAAAGTACCCGCAACATCTCAAAACCATCTCCAAGGCCAGAAAATGTAGTTAAAGTACTTATGTCATAAAGCATATTCGCAGCTTCCTCTGCCTCCAGACAAAGTCATCCATCAGCAGGGCTTGATCCGTGAATTGTTTTCTACTTCCGAGTTAATGAGGCCGCAGTCTGGCAACAAGGAATCGACTCATCCCGATGCTCGCCGATGGATTTCACCATCACACACATTACAGATGGTTGACTCCTGATCATTTTTGTTATTGATTTTTTTTCTTTTTTACAAGGCCAAATGCGGTGCAGCCAAGACACAGGAAAAATGACCGCATAAATCCGTTGTGATTCATGCAGGACGAAGTATTTGGTCTGCTTCAAACAGCCAGCGAGGTTCCTTCAGACAGTTTCAGGCAAAGCTGCTTCAAAAAGTAGATTCAGACTAAAAACGACACGGCAGGTTTATAATTGATATTTCTGATTACTTTACTTTACTACTACATTACTACATTACTTTAATATTTCCCTTCACCACAAAAGCAACATCATTTCCTAATTTTCCCTGGAAATCAGCAAAATTTGCCACCATAGGCTAAAAGACATAGGTACAGTCATGTCACCCATTCGTTTGTGGCCATCTTGGATTTTTAAAGCTCGACATGAAAAGTGAGGGGGGAGTATCCAATACAGCCACACCTTAAATCAGGGGTCCCCAATCTCAGTCCACGAGGGCCGGTGTCCCTGCAGGTTTTAGATCTCACCCTGGGTCAACACACCTGCATCACATGATTAGCTCATTACCAGGCCTCTGGAGAACTTCAAGACATGTTGAGAAGGTCATTTATCCATTTAAATCAGCTGTGATGGATCAAGGACACATCTAAAACCTGCAGGGACACCGGCCCTCGTGGACTGGGATTGGGGACCCCTGCCTTAAATCATACCCTGCTTTATCATTTATTTCATTCTAAATGGGACCAAAATGTTTTCTTCCTGTTAAAAGGGAGTTTTTCCTTTCCACTGTCGCCAAAGCGCTTGCTCATATGGGCTCATCCAACATGTTCTTACCCCCAAAGTGTAACATATGTGCTATGTGACAAATTGTCAGTATGTTACGCTTTTGGCCACCCAACACTTTCCTATGTTATGCGTTCGGAAACAGGAGGAAACATGAGAACCGTTTGGACTGAATCTACACACGTGTATTTATTTTACGTTCTCATTATGAATCGCTTTGGAAAGCACAAATCAAACACAATTAAGGTTGTGGTTAAGGTTGGGATTAAGGTTAGGGCTCGAATACACGGCTGGAGTGCGTGTTACCGCCGGGAGCGTCATTCTATTGGATTCCATCCACAATCGGGCGTATCATGGGGACGTGGAAGGTTACCTTTTGCATTTCCATGGGACACCTCGGGACGTGACAAATCGTTGGTGTGTTACGTGTCGGGAATGAGAATGCTCTGGCTCATCTGATTGTTGTGGTTTTATTTATAATATTGCATTTGTTGCATAAAATAAAACAGTATAAAAGAACAAGCACGGCTTTTTTGTGTCGTTTATCTCTGGACTACTGTGTGATCTTGTTTCTAAGAAGAAAACAGTTTCCCCTGCTTACATTTGCATAAAACATTTAAATGGTTTCTCCTTTATGCTTGCTGTAAAATTCACCCCAAACGGCCAACCTTCTTCTCCAAGGGCAAACATTAATCTTCTTCCTCACACAGAAAAGAAAAGCATACATTTATGCTGTACATCACATGCTTCACATTACTGTGTGCAACAAAAGAAACATAATAAAATACAAAAAAGCAACAACAGCAAAAAGAAAAAACACATAAAAAGACGCCCACACATCAAAGCAGAGATGAATAGTTTGCACGAGAGAGGTAAGGAGTTGTAGG